ATCTAGTAGCTCTAACAATTACCTTGCTGAATGTGTAATATTTCGTGTTGCAATATCTCTATATTGTTTCGAAATAATTGTACATCTTTATAGGTGCGTGCATATGGATTGATTCGATTCCTTCTTGCACATCGTTATATTTCTAAATGTTTTGGATACAATACGATTGAAATCTTTTTTTTTTCAATTACGGGAGAACTTTTCCCACGATTTAACTTTGCAAGTATATCACTAATTGTAAGCTAATTCGCCGTATTGTACGCTGAGATATTATTTTGAGATCAATTGCTCCAAACAATTATCAGTGCTTTACGAAAGACCGATATTTCTACACGCATTTTTCTAAATGCATACCCGCAGAATTGCGGGGCGGAAATTTCGTGCAAGATCTCATCATACAATTTCATAAATGTTTTCCTATTATCGGGGGTGCATGATGAGATTAAAGTTCCATTAGACGCGCTTTATGCCGACGCGTGTTAGTGCATATAGAAAACCGTTGCGAGAGGAATCGACAGATCCTTTTGTTACGCGTCGCGCATTTTCAATGTGCCGCATCAGAGATAACGCTCTACCCCGGGAAACAAAAGTTAATTTTCTGCAGTCCACGTGTAACGCGGTTGGCTCTTTTCCGCAATAGTCGCGCGATACGTAATAACCGACGACGTGAATCCATCCGTTCGCATTTGCGACCAGCAACTTCATCGTGCGCAACAGCGATATATCCACTTTGGCACTGCGAGAGAGACAGAGAGAGATACGAACGGTATTAGAGCAGCTGTGTTTGGCCGCATATGCGACGTCCAATAAACCGAGGCGGTTCTCATATCGAAGTGCCAGGCACGGCGGCCGGAAGTTGCGCGAAACGCCGGCGGGATGTAATTTAACAATGACAACGACAACTGCAACGCCGTCTTTATTTTCAGTTTGCCCCCCCGGGGAGGGGCGGGGGGGGGGGAAACTAAGAGACGCGCCACCGCCAATTCGAGTTATCTTAGAGTCGGCGTGTGACAAATGGGCAACACGCTGGCAAGCACGCTATGATCGATTATTGGCAGGCTCGCGGGCGCGTCGCGCGAGTGCCGGATCGGGTTCCGTTCGCCATGCTCTCGCGATGGTCCCCCGTCGACGCCGAGAGATTTATCATTCCCTAACTGATGATCGAAACGAGCGTGACGTTCGGTAGTTCACATAGTTTTCCCCGGGTGATGGATCGCCGCTCTAAGATTGTGGCTTCCGTCATTGCTGGCCTATTGGTACTTACGGCATCATATTTCTTGTTGCCGGATAATAGCAGTTGCTGTTATCAACATCGCGCGCGAGCGCGCCCTCGTTTCGGATTGTTCGCTACTTCGGTATCGGAAAAGTTTCGCGATTTCCCGCCCCCCGGCCGATATACACGCGATCTAATAAACGCATTAAAACATTTATTCATAACGGAGATATTTCCTGGTTTATTTTTCATCAAAGCACACCTCTTTCTTGATTATTTGCATATCAGTATTGCGTTAACGCCATTGGATTTTATTACGATGTATCCATAATGTACACATATTCCGGAAATTACGGGATCTGTTTTTTCCATTAAAAATCTAGCAGGGGGAAACAATACGCGGATGGAAATGCGCACAGAGGAATACATCAAACGTAACTTTATTTACACGCGAAAAATATGACTGAAGAAATATTTGCCGACCCTCCATCGGGTTCTAATAAATAAAATAACGCTTTTATGTCATTCATTAATTGCTCGACAGTACCTTTTCATAGAGCAATAAATAGAAATTATAAGATTTGCGTGGTGAAAAGAGTGGGATATAGCAGGACTAACGGCTGCGTTCTACGCGTTACGTGCACTCTGACGAACGATTTTCATCGAGATGGCAGACTGCAAGCGCTCGCGGCTAGGGATCGCTTATGATTCTCCTCCGTCATGGCGCAAGATGAGCCAGACGTTTTGGCACAGCTCGGTAATGGCATTGTATCAATACTATTTCACCTCGCCAAGAGACTCCTTGCGCGAGATATCAAGGACCTGGTACGAGGTCACGTCGGCGGAGGGCGCGGAATTTTCTAAAAGGGATGATATATAGAGCCAGTCAAGCTTGGACGTCCGTGTAAAATCCATTCGGCATAAGATGAGTGGGTGGAGGAAAAAAGAATCACTTAGATGATCCGAGAGAGAAAGAGAGAGAGTGAGAAGGGGATAAAGGTCGGGGCGATTGGATGGAGAACGTCGATCTTGACCGCCACCAGTGACAAGCGACATAATGGATACAAGAATGTAAAAAGCAAATGAAGGCAATTCGGAAGAAATCTCGTTATTAATTGAAAGAATCCTCGGCTCTCTATTGCGGTAACTTACAAGATGCATTACATAATAATTTATATGGTTTTTACGAAGAGGAATCTCGCTCTCCTTTTTTCTGTATCTTACAAGTTACAAAACTAAAAATTTTATAATGCAGCATATTTTCTATTCAATAAGCTAATTGTCTTGCATGTTGGGATTTTTTGTACAATTTCGTTGTTGTGGATTGATTATTGTAATCTTTAATTATTGTAATCTTTATATACATAAGGAAAAACTCGTAATATACTTGAGTAACTTAATATTTGTGCTCATGCATTGAAATTACACACGTTTTATCGTTTCTCTGCGAGCGACATGTTACTTTAGTGATTTAATTATAAATTGTACTTTTTGCGATAAAAGAAAGAAATGTCTCTCTCATATCTAATTAAGCAACGCGAAAGTCGCAATGCCGCCGTACAGAAGGTTGTATCGATCCAATTGGTTGTTTTTTTTTCCTCGTCGGAAGGTCGACTTCCAAAGAGAAAGGGAACGAGTCCCGAGACCGCTAAAGTGACGCGAGATAATAGATGTAAGGCGGGAAAAAGCCGAACAAGGATGGAAATCCGGCCGGACGGCCGCGACTGGTAAGAATCCAGGAAAATCCATCCACTCACTGGCGAGGCGATTAATCAAAGCCGCGTGGCGAAAATGAACGCCGCGTAAATTCGAACGTTTTTACTTAGGTGAGCGAAGGACGTAATTAAATCGGAATGCTCTTTAAGCATTTCAAATGTGTATATATGCGCGTTTTAATAAGATAATGGAAATGTTTGGATTCTTTAAAGATAATGATAATAATAATGAATAAATGTACCTCAGCCTTTGAGACAATTTCTGTAATTAAACGCGTATAACTGCACAGATTATTATTATTAATAAGTGAGTAGCAAGCATTTTCTTAACGCCGTTATATAAAAGATTCCCGTTTTCATTATTCCTTTAAACGCGCTTTTTAACCGGATGAGAGAAATGGTATTCATGATCGACCGTGATTTGATAGCAACCGCGCTTCGCCCGTGCATTAACCCTGGCCCTATAGTTACGCAAGAGACGATCTATAGATCTCTCGATCGGAAACAATGGTCCTTAAGATAGACTGCTCTCACGACACATGGGAAGAAATATCGCTTGGGACTCACGGGGTCTTCTCAAATATAATTACACCTATACATTATACAACGTTATACAATCTATAGACATAGCTGTAACGTTCGATGAATACGAAAAGCGCAGTGCAAATTTATTATACTGTAGGTGCACCATGCATAATTGACGCGTTAGCAAAATAAATATAAATTGCATTATTCTTAGGGATGTTTGAAGAACTTTTCACGATCAGTATATTCGTCTGCAAAGCACTTAAAAATACTGACGCCAATGGTAACAATTATTGCAGCCCTTTTATATTAATCGCGGCCCAGAGCTGAACTAATTCGTGAAAGCTTATTTTTCATATTCAAATTTGTTATATATCAATAAACATGATTACACATTATATGATTTAAATGAAACAATGTTATATATGTACATGCGTAATATTGTATGTTATATTTAATTTATGTACATGTATAATATTGCATGTTTTATTAAAAAATCCGGCAATCTTTTTTTTCAATCCACAGTCTGACTTTGAACGTACCGATCAGAAGCAAGAAAAATCGCGGCGGTTAAGAGTTGCTAATGGATCTTAATGAGTTAAAACCACATGCTCCCATCACCACAGCGCTCACCTGGCTTGATCTCGCGGGGATAAGCCTGCGCCCACGATCCGTCCACGACGAGCAGCAGCAGCAGCGGCAGCAGCAGCGGCAGCACGAGGACCACCGAGATCCTAGCGATGCGCGCCAAGGTCATCCTCTTGGTCCCGGCGCCAGCCGAGCTCTGTTCTCTGGCACTGAGGGGTCCTTCGGGCACTGATGGTCGCCGAGGCGAGGCCCTACGGTGCCGAAGGGGGATCGAAACAATCGATAAATCAGAACCCGACACCGGGCCGTGAGAGACGAGTGATGACCTTCCAGATCCAGGAGGTCACGCGCTGGTTGCACCGCGCCGCTTGCCTGCGACCTCGGGAACCTCTCTAAAGTCGGCGGCGGCTTCGACGCCAGGCCAGGCGAGATTTGAAGTGTATGTGTACCGAGTACTCACGGCCGCGAGTGTCTGCGGCGATCGAGGCGGGCGAGTAAGTGAGGATCGAGTGAGTGAGGATGGACTGACAGACGTGCGGGCGTACGCACGAGTCAATGAAGTGAGTGGTACTTACCCGTAGGAGCCCTCACCTTACCCAACTCGGACCGTCTCTCCCCCTCACCTCCCTCGCCGAGCCTCACGTCTCGCACGCACGCCTCTCTTTTACCTCTCGCCTGGGCTCTCTTTTCCAGCGTCTTCCTCCACTTCTTCCGCACTGTCTTCTTCCTCATCTTTCTCCTACTACCACTCGTCTCCTTCGCCTCCTCCTTCCCCACCTCTTTTTGCATCATTTTTTCCTTCCGCGTCTCTTGTTCCTCGTCTCGTTTACTTCCCTCTTCCTTTTTCACCTCACATTTAATTTGCGGTATCGACTGTTAATTGACAAGCGTTTGCAAAAGATTCAGTTTTCAACGATAAAATAATCCGTACAACCGGACGATCTGAATCTTCTGAGTATTTTTTTAATCGTACGAATTAACATTTTATTCCTACACAGGAAAAAAATGATGTGTCAGCAAGATCAATGTGGTTGAAATGAAATCGTTGAAACAACATCAGTATTAATGAATGAAAAACATCAGATAGATGTCTTAATAATCTGGATATTTAGTTCAGTGCTTAAAAGAAAAATCCATAGCACACTTTGAACATTTTGTTTTCGTATAAATGGGAAAGATTAATTAGCGTATAAAGAGTCAAACAAATTGTGTCCATGTGAAAGTTTTATAGAAAATTACTTGTCTCTCTAAAGTTTCGTATCAAACGCATTATATATTGTAATTATTCATTGTGAAATCGAGTCGTTAATTTGTTCTCTTATTCTCGCACAATCCCCTTTGCACCACGTAGATTGCACCACTACCGGCATAAAGTTTCCGTAAAAGTGCAACAGAAAGATTTCAAATCTGGAAAGCTTCTGCACAGCGTCGCCTTAACGGCCACTTTTATCACGATTGAAGAATTTTACGAGTAATTAGCAAACTTCCTTTGGGCGTCAGAGAGCGGAGTCTTGCAGTACATAGTTTTGTTTTTCTCTTTTCAAAATAGTAAAATCTATAAATATCAGAACTGTACTGTACATTTTAAGCAATAAGGGAAATAGTTTTATCATAGTTTGTGCCGCATATTATTCCTCGGGCGTAACAATATTGTGTTTAGAATTCACTTGTGCAATATTACGTTTGTCTTTCTTCTTTTCGCATTGTGAATTCTTCATCGTGAACAGATATTATCAATTAAAATATAAACCACGTGTTACACACATATTGTTTCAAACTAAAGCCAATGTTAATAAACTTGCAAACTAGCCTGATACTTTCAACAACTTATCCAAATCTATTTAAACATTTTTATTAAATTGCAAAAGTTTTATATTACAAAAGTATCATATGTGAAGTATCTAATAATGCAACCTGTATAGACAGATTCCTACAAGAGTGCATATTACTTTCTATCCCAATTATCATTGAAAAGAAGAAGGGGCCAAGCAACAACGAAAATTGACACCTCACAGTCAATTTTCAGCGAGAATTTCTCCCTTCGGAAGGCACTATCTAATTATAATTCGAAGAAATTTAGGCGAGTATTCTTGACACTCTCGTGCGGTATTTCCTCACACATTGGCCTTTTGTTCCGGCTCCTTCGCTTACTTACCACCGTCGCGTTGTTTCTTCGCGCTCGCCGCGCTGTGTTCCCACACGCTTAAACGCGGGCCACCTCCATTTACCCCGGCATCTCTTTCCGTGCAGAATAGTGCCAGGCAATCTTTCGCGTGCAAACATCTTCCCCGAGATCTCGGTCCATTCGTGCCGCGGTATTCCGCTCGCGCGTGCGGACGACACGCGATAATTTTATTCCGACGCTACCTAAATAGCTTCGTTACTCCCTCGGACGAAAACAACCTCGAGTTATTTCATCCCCCTCCCCCCCCCCTCCCGCGATCTCCGCCGCCTTGCTCTCGTACTTGGGTCCCGCGCAGCCGATTTTCCTCCGCGAACTTATTGAAATTTCACTGCAAAGGCACGAGGGTGGAGAGACTCTTTTCCTCCTTCCGCCCTTGCTCCGCTTTCCTCCGCTTTGTCTTTTCACGACGCGAACGCAAACCAAGATGCAGCCTTCATCACTTATTTCCCGCGTTTCTTCCCATTCCTCCCTGGGCGCAAAGCATCGCCCCGGCTGTTCTTTCTGTACAAGGATCTCAGACTCATTTCCCACTACTTAATTTGTATAAGCATTCCTTCTTCTCTCGCTGAACATGACGCGATATTTCTTCCTTGCAATTGCGCCATTGTAGCAATTAAAACTATTAGGATTGTGTACGGGCGCGGGGCCCGAGGTTCTTGTATAAGATGAAGAGAGATGAAGTAATTGAAGCCATTAAAAATAGAACAATGCAATAATTTTCTAATGAAATAAACGAAACAAACAAAATTAACAATGAATAATTAAGTGTAAAATTAATATATTACATTTAATATACATTAATAACATTAACATACATTGTATGAAGTTATTGAACAGTGCAACGGCTGGCAGAAAAGATAAAAATGTATAAAGACACAGTGGGGTTTTTATTTCGCTCGGTTAATAGACCGTGAAAATGATATTTCCCGAAAATTTCTGCCGTAATAGGTGTCGCAATTTCCTACAGGTTTCGGCTTTCGCCCGACTGTAAGTGTATTCGACTTTTCCCTTTTTGGCTGCAATACGACAAACTACGTTGCGTTGTAAAGGCCGCACTGTCAGCCGTAAAACCTTTCGCCAGGCATTCACGAAATATTGATTCCCGTTGAAAGCAGTTTGGACGCAGCTGAGACCATCGCGGCGCGGATATACTTTTTCGACGAACGGCAGTACGCATTTTCACAAATTTTCGATAATGGACGGCACAATGCGTCGAAATGCCGCGCCGCTGCCTTTTCCTCGCGCGCGCAGGAAAAGCTATTGTGCGAATATTGTATAGTGAATAAAATGCATTAACTAGAATCGGTTCCGTGTGGCTTTTCGGTTACTCGCCGGGCCAAAACAGATCACTGCCAACAAAACGAATCGATAGGAAACAGGCAACTGGTGGTCGACGGTTAGAGACAGAAATATGAAAGGGAAGGAAATTAGCAAAAATGTTTGCCGTTTCGCTTTGCGACGAAAGTGAATCCATTTTTGTAATATACAGATACAACTAAGTTTTTTTTACATTTATTATCTTAAATGATTTGTCATCCGAAAGAACCGCGCAAAATGTATTTTCACTTGACGAAAAAGAAAAGAAGCTTGCCGGAAAAACTTCACCAGCGCTCGCTCCGTTTTAGTTGAGGCAAAAGAATTCAACTTGTTCTCGCAAAAACGTATCGAAGAACGATCGCTTTCGCAGATGGGCAAATATTACGCGAAGTACGGGCGAACGTAACGCGGGCACTCGCACGTGGGATGACCAATGAGAGAAACTGAGAGACCACGGAGAGAGAAGCGTGCTATGGACAAGTCTATCCATCTTGCTCGACAAATCTGGGGAAGTGGAGTCTCGAGCGCACGACACGAGGCCTCTCATGGGGGCTTAATAGCGGAGTAAAAAAGATACGGACTCACCTGTAGACCTGGGAGATGCTGAGCGATTTGCTCGCGCGATCTACAGCGGACAATCGTCGCGAAACAGAGTGGTCTTGTACGAGAATGGCACGATATCGATCTCTCCTTTTTCCGATCAGCAACTATAAATATAAACGAGATAGCAAACGTTATCAGTAGATTCATGAATTGCGTGCTATACAGTTCCATCGCATTTGTATTTATAATTATTATAATTTTAATACAATTTTTATAATTAGCGTGTGATATATATTAAATTTAATATCAATCTTACACTGAAAAAAATTTCTGGTTGAATATGGACGAATTCAATGGAATATGGAGGAATTCTGGTAAATCCTAAAGGAATTATCTGATTCGTCCATATTCAACCAGAAATTTTTTTCAGTGTAGAATATAATTTTCTATAACGCGCTTTATTATTTTTTGTATTTACTTTTCCTTCGACCATTATAAACTCAGCTATTACGTTTTTACGACTGTTAAATAAGTTTATATAAACTTCTTGCTTTCGAAATTGTCTGTTCGGAATAAATAGGCGTCGTTAAGTTCGTTCGCGCCCTTCCACGTCGGACCGCAGTCGCATTTACTTACGAGGCTAATTGTGATGTCGGGACGAGAGAGTGAAGAGATCATTACATCTCGTAGATCATCCATTTATGGCCGCATAGCCATCTGGCTGCACAGCTTCGCATGAAGATAAAGCCGTTTCAAACGAAAGCCGACCTCCCGTGAGTATCGAGTATTTTGTAATGAGATGGAGGTTCGTCGGGCTTCGATCGAGACTATGATTAACTTCCCATTCCCTACCACGTTCCTCTCAGCATCTTACTCTTCTCCATTTCTTCAGTGTTTTCCCAGGTTTCTCTTCACGTCTCTCTATAAGTCTTGAAACATTCTCCTCACGAAATTGGACTGAATAAAGCAGTTTTTGCGTAAACTCCTACTTTACATTTTACAATTGTTAAATTTTTGAGACTAGTTACAGTAATTACTGGCGATGGAAATTTTGAAGATATCTACGGACTTTTATTTCGAAAACGTCTTAAATTGCTAATGATCAGTTTAAAATATATATTCTCTACGAACGTATATATACGGCGTCCCGTAAATGTAGCATCATAGAAAAAAAATTAAAAGACTAGAACAATTGTTTCGTTTTATTTACGTGTACATAAGCTGCTCAACGTGTCCAATATTATTTTCAATACACAACCAAGCTAAACGCTTCATCCAGTCAAGAAATCCATAATTAATAATAGTTAATGATATTACACATATTGTGTCGCACACAATAATGCTCTATGCTGTTGAATTTATGAGGCTATGTATATAATATGTTATTTGTACATTTTCGAAATAACTGAGTAAACGACAAATATTTTTAATGCAGAGAAGAGTTACAGTCAAGAGTACATTTATTCTTACAATTAGCTGTAACGAATAACTTTTGCTCTTTTTTGTCTTTCATACAGATACAATTAACAAGTATTAAATCTTAATGTTAAGTTTTTCACGTATAAAAATTAGTCATTTAATTTAAGATTGACATGTTACCCAAACATTGTCATGTACAGTTTTTTTGTTATAAATGCAATCATTAAGAAAAATCTTAGATAAATGTTGCATTTCTAAATATAGATACATGTAATCATGCAATAAAGAATTTTTAGATTGTTTAATTCCTATTTCAAAATGTTTATGCATAGTGTGTTACAATGATATGAATTGTAATAAGTTTTAGAAACTTATTATAAATTAAAAAACAATCATTTTGTGTTTTTTTTAACACCGTTGTGCGATTTCATTTACAGTGTCTTGTTTTAAAATGATCAATATCCAAAAAATTGTTCTGAAACATTCTTTCTATGTTCTTCACAATCATATTCTTCAACGCGAATAATTAAAAATGAAATTACTGTTTCTGGAAATTCATTGGATTAAAATTCATTGGATTAAAATTCATTGGATTAAAAATCTGGCGCGTCAAAAATGCTCGGAAGTCGATTTTTGCCGATCAAACAAGAAGTGCAGACTTTCAGTAATTGGTTCTGTTCGATGTTCTGGGTCGTTGTTTTCGGAATGTCAAAGATACGAATAACTTTCGCAATCTCGTCGTCTCCCGCCGAAGTAGATGTCCATTGATCCATGCACGCGACGCCGAACGAGAATTCATTGACTCGATGAAGAACTTCAGCGAGAGAGCCGTGCTCCATGACTGAACGGTTCTGGATATCCGATTCTCAATTGGAAACTTCTCACGCGATAGTTCGAATCGACTCGATAATTTTATTTTGGACAATACTGTACTTCATTCTGCACCTATGTCAATATATGAAGAACGCGACAACGTTACGTGAAGAGACTTGCGCCGCTTTCGCAGGCACAAATAAACCGAAAAGTTTTATTAAGCAGAAAGAGATAATAACTGCTTGAAGAAATTACACGTTGGACGGAAATGAACGATGTAACGAAGAGCAACTCTTAAGAAGTTTGTTAAGATAGCATTAGTGAGACACTCGCAGATTATAACAGAAGATATAATAAAATCATACTGAAAAGTCAGCAAGGTTAGCAGCCTACCGAAGATAAGTAAAACCAAATGCTCCAAGTGCCAGAATGAACTGGATAAAACAGGCTAATACACGAAGAAGAAAAAGAAGAAGAAGATACTGAAAGTTACTCTCGCGCCAAGACAGAAGCGAGTGCAATATCTAATGCATGCTTTGGTAACATACAACTTAAACGTAGATCGTGACCTTCAGCTATTGATTTGGCAAACTTTTGTAATCGATTGAGATGAACAAAGATCATATGACCAGGCGATTTATGCGTGCGATAAAATATGCGCAAAAAGAAGCTTTGCAATTTACTTTATCAAAAGATGTATAGCATCTTTTTCGGCTGGCGAGGACGTGCAGAGCACGCACTTGCGACTGCGTTAATTTCTGTGAATCCACCAGCGCCAGGAAACGATTTCTTGCCGCGACACGACATCGGGTAACAGGTGGAGAGGCGCGGGGAATCCCGTCGTCGGTGATGATCGCCGACGTCGACGCGGCAGGCGGTCGGCTTCTTTCGTACAACTTCTTCGAGGGCGACTCCAGATCCATGTTTCATGAGCTACCTCGCGCACGTCGGAGAGGGTTAAGGCCACCGCGGGTGCGCCGCGAAAGCCGCGATCGCCACGATCTACGCGTACTCCCAGGACCTTCCCCTTTCGCGACTGGGGAAAACTGAAAATCTCGCGGAATTCTCGGGGGACGTTGCTTCGAACGTCCGTGTGGATATGCCCCATTATGCGCGAGAAGAACAACCTATCCTAAACTCATTTTAAAAAAAGTGTCGCAATCATTCTGTTCACCACTGTACATTCTTTCGATTATAAAAAGAGTGTAAAAAATTTCTACGACAAATTTAAGTAGCTTTTCGTTGCCAGTGGTGATTAATCAAGAGGATTTTTTTATAAAAATCGACCAGACCGGCACGAATGACGATCTCTATTTTAGTCACGACGTTTTCTACAAGTTTTGTTTCAGTTGTTTGCAAGGGAATCGACTCGGTCAAAATAAATTCTGTGTTGACTCTTTGGATAAATGTGTTTAGGCAAGAATAAAATTTTTTTTTAATCGCATTTGAATATTATCACAATTAATATTATAAGAAATATGGAAACTGAAGATTCTTTAATGAAGTCATGATATCTTTTAAACCGCAATACGTACAGCACGAGTATGTAATTATAACGAACTGCGTAACGGAGTGCAGTGTGTCTCAATTACATACCTCTAATATCTACCTGGCCCCATTTAGCGAATTTATCATGACGAAATATGGCAAAGTTTAACAGTGCCAGGTGACGCTGCGGGATAGTAAAGATTAAGGATGTCGCACACCGGGGCACCAGCGCGCCATTCCAATGCGTGCACGTTCTCAAAGATGATGAGCTTCAAAGGAATTTTAAATTAAAGCGGAAGAAGGTCAAACATGCTCGCTTCGGAACTCGCTTGCGACGAAAGAAAATCGTATTTAAGCTTCCGCGAATTGGGTCGTCCGGCTTGGTTGCCTAACGCTAAAATATATTTAATAAAACATTGCGAAGCAAGACCTAGACATGCTACAAACGTCGAACACTCGGGAGTCATTTAAATCGCACAACTCCGAGTGGATTAATTTGGAAATGCTAAATGGATCCACGAGATTCTCCCTTTTCGGCACAATTTCCTCTCGCGCGACGAAGCTGATAGTATCTTTTTAACACAGATTTCCCATAAACACGCGTTAAAATTAATCGAGATTTGACCGCGAGTCCCTGTGCACTTTCGAAGACGATTTCGAAATAATGTCTTGTATCTTATTTTGCGTGTTGAATTTTCCAGAGGAAAATGGTAAACGGGCACAGGTACACCTGAGCAATTGCTAATAATCCAAGATTACATTTGCGGCATAAACCATAATGGTCCTCCCCGCGCCAGCGAGAGTCCCGCGAAGTTTAGGTGGATGCGAATATCCGAAAATTCGAATTCTCACTATGAATACAAATGCCCGATGGAGACCGCCTACGTAATATCCCGCTTATCTCGCGCGCTCGCTCGTATCGTAAGTCGTCGGTGTGTGGCGAGCTTTAAAGCCCGACACTCGCCGGGGAAATGGTGCTACTCTGAATCACCGGCAGCACACCGGCGATATTCCTTTCTGATCGATGCGCTCGCGACGATACGGCGCCTGCAGACCGTCCTTTCGGATGCGCGGCCCGGCTCGAACGAGAGCTGGTGCACGCCGCGCCGCCGCCGCCGCCGGAGAGAACCGGGGCCGCGCGCTGACGACGGTCGATCGGCCGATCGGGAAACGGTGATCGCGTTGTTTTTTATGCGGAAGTAGATCGGACGAGGTGAAGCGCCCGCGAGATTGGAATCGAAAATCAGACGTGCACACGCGGCGGCACCGTTAAGGCCGCCTCGAAGCTTGCTCGATGCGAGACAGCATTTATGAAATACCCAATTAACATTCTCAATCAGATATTGTACCAATGAAGAACGCGTGGAAAAGAGTATTCGCGAAATTGAAGACCAGGCTAAAGTGGCACGCTCGCACACACCCAGAACAAAAGATTTATTCACGTTACACAAGCGAGATACGTTGAAATCGGGTCTCTTTGAATCTACCAAATTTTTAGTAAAACGTTTGCTAAAATTCTCCGAGACCTGTTCTACAATACGTCGTATGTCGCTTTTCAGAAAAGAAATTTTCTCATTGAACTGCCTGCCCGACATCCGACCAGCGACATACAACATTGTATAACAGGCCTTAAGAATCCGAATCAGACTAGCAATTGTTGACTCGGATTGAATTGGAATTGGCGATTGACAATTGTTCTTTAGCCAATGAGAGCAAAGCACCCAGTGATTTAATCGGCTCTCATTGGCGAGAAGACAATCGTCAATCGCCAATCCCAACCCAATCCGAGTCAGCAATCGCTAGTCTGAGATTCGGTCTTTAGAGATTCCAGTCCCAATCAAATAAAATTGTAGTTAAAGTAAAGAAATTATTTCTTTAAAATTAAGTAAAATTTATTAACGTGAAAATTCAAACAAATTTGTTTGATTTCGAACAAACTTCTGTTCTGGGTGCAAACGCAATTTCGAGATTCCTAATATGAACACTGTAGAACACATTACTGAATTTTCGATGAAAATTTTAATCAGCCGGAATTAAAATATACAAATAATAAATGTGAGAATAATAAAGAATACATGGACGCGCGTATTAATCTGTTAAATGTGATGTAATATCGTAACAATGACAGAAGGCGAGCAGAAATGACGGAAATAACGATAGAAGAGAATAGGTGACATATTAAATTTGCCATTAAACATTTACTATCCCAGTTTTCCATAATGGATTTCTAGTGTAGCGGATTTAATAGACGTTTTGATACCACAATGACGTCAGTATTGTTCCGCCCGTCAGAATGGTGCTGCGAGAGAAAACGCGTCAGCTGGGATATAATAAACTTCTGGAACGCACGCATGTTCATAAATATTGACAGCCAGCCGACATAATTATTAATTACCTCGTAATTACTCGCGCATTTCATTAGGGCCGCATTTGCTTTGTGGAACTGGAATGTGACAAGCGGCTTTTGAGCTTGTTGCATGCATTAAAATAATTCAACAATGTATTATGCGAATTAATGTTTCAATAATATAATAACAGCATGCCACACTTACATGTCTATGTAACGTTGTAATTTCGTTCTCCGTAATACAGTTGCGAATGATTAAATTAAAACAATTATTGGTAAAAAAAACATCACCTTGTGAATTGTAAAATAAATTGGATACCTCGATAAACGCAATTTGTCTGCATTAATAATGGGCCTTTATTATCAGATAAAGCGTAAATTCCGGTTTAATTTAAATACATACAATTACACTCAATGCAAATTTCTCAAGCAAAATTATTATCTCCAAATATATATATATATATATATATATATATGTTGTTATATTAACCATCTAATTTCACTTATTATCATTTTCTATCTACAGTCATATTGCATGTCTTTGTCTGAAATGAATGTATCACAGTGAAATTGCGGCACTTAGTAAACATTGCGTAGTATCTGGTAAATAGCTATTTGGTATTTGGACCATCAAAGTGATTTTAATTATCAAACAGTTGCGAATACAAAGTGCAGCCCTTTACAAACTGTCCCATGTGTGTTCACTTGTCATATGTCACCGTTTATTTATAACGATATATTTAAAAAAGACAAATTTATAATTACGATTAGAATCGCTTATTAATATAACAATTCTCGTAGAATAAATCGAGAAGAAGAGATGACATTTTAACGGAACAAAATAAAAAATTATACCGCGTAAATCTCTCTTTTTTTTTCTTCTATAAACTCTTCTTTGCAATATCGTACAAGATTGGAGTACAGTAGCCAGAGATAAACGTTCCGCCAGCTGAAACGAGCGCTTTCGCGATCAGCCGATACGAAATTCAGAAACTATTAAGACTTACGATCTGTTCGCAAGAATCGAGCCACGAGAAACGGAGTTCGGATCGTGTCTCGAGGGAAACATCATCCGAGATCTTCACGCAAATCGCGATCACATATGTATCGTCACGAATATCAAATTGACCCTCGAGATCCATCCATTCTGTTGAACCGTATCGCGCGCCTCAAGACGCAACGGTTTCAGCTTACTTGCTCAACGGTTATAAGTGTGAGCCTAAAGGCCGAATCAGACTAACAATTGCTGACTCGGATTGGATTGGGATTGGCGATTGACGATTCACTATCGTTTAACTTTAAGCGTAGCTTATTTCGTTCTTTGTCTTTTTCCAACTGTTACTTTAGAAAGAGACAAACATGAATTAAATTAAGATTAAAGTTAGGCGACGTTTGGTAAAACCGGGCCTAAGCTGTACACACGGAGCTAATGAAAACCTCATTTGTTTTAGGAATGTGGAAAAACTTTGCGACGTTGGTTTAGTAACGAAAGTCGAATGCATCGTTCTGATTGCGCATGTTATATGTTAATTAAATTAAAATTAATTAAAGCACAAATGAATTAAAACTAAAAACCATTGCGTTAAATTGTCGAATAAACGAAGCTAAGGAACCGAATACGACCTGATTAGCCGACGTTGCTATCCTATGCGGAGGGT